TAGGTCCCCCATCCCTCTTTTGACCACAAGTTCTATTTGGAGAAACAGCCTTACTGATAATATTTAGAGTTTAGAATTTTACTAGTTCATGGAAATATACATTGATGAACTGTTAGAGGTCACTCAGAATTTATGAACTATGAAACTCTGCCTCAAATACAACAGCAGAACATTTCTGTATTTAATTCTGAATATAAATAGTGGTATTGCATATTAAGCACAGTAGCTTGTAAAGGTCCATCTTCCAACATGATTCAAGTATTGAAAGCTTAAGAAAGGAAAACCTACGAACCATTATGGACTTACTCTAACCACATTTGGCTTAGGTCGGTAGAGCAAATAATGGATATACTACCTCTGGGGTAGATAATGAGTAGCCCAGAAGAAATTGCCAGGAATCCTGACGTTTCCCACATAGCCTAGCCTACTACAAAGAAAATACAAATTCCAATGTCTTATGTAAAATAAAAGCATCACCTGATTTTTTTTGCTAAGATGTATGAATTTATCAGCTTTAGTAACTCTTCTTAGAAATAAACTTGTGCTCCATTGGACTAAATAGCATATTAAATTGAGAGAGATAACTCAATTAGAAGAGCTTACATTAAATGTATATATTAGTCAACAGAGCACTAGCCATCACTCAAATAGCATTCTGGCCTTGGGGACTGTTGCTAAGAGCATTTTATTCAGTTTTGCATAAAAGCAAACTCCTATTGTTCGTGGAAGGGAAGAACTGACAAAACATACTTTATTTCATATGTAGATATACTGGTTGTCATTTTAGAAATGACCTTAGAGATAGCCAGTAAGCCTCATTGCATTTCTTAATGTTCCTTGTGTTCTGTCATAAATTGAGATCATGACATTATGAGAGTATTTATAGAGTTAATACTTTCCAGCTCTCATCTGCGTCCATCTTTCTTCAGATTTCCTGCCCAGTACCTAGAAAAGGCCCATTTGGAATTTGAGAAAACATCCAGAGACTTCTTCAAAAAGCTATACTCTTCCTAAATTCATACTTTTTTTATTAACAGATGTAAATTTGAAGGGGAAATACCATATACTATAAGCCATTTGGGAGTATTCCACCTCTTAAGGATGACTTACACTTGCCATTTGAATGGCATGGATGCTGAGAGCATAAACTCAAAACTCATCTGTACTCTAGCTCTGAATCATTCTTTTGATGAACTCTGCATGCATTTTGTGATAAACACACACATGTGGATGAAGTATGTGACCTCATTGGCAGTTATCTACAGTGTCAAGTGCTATTGGCAGATACCCAAAATATGATTGACACACATCTTACAGAACTGGAGTTAATTAATGTCTACCAATTCCCAAACGTACCACAGGAAAAAGAAAATCTGTTTAATGCAGCAATCAAAGACATACTGTGTGTGGTCAGAAGACAGTCACTGTACAGCAAGAGTAGATTTTGGAATATAGTTTTCGAGAGTGCAGATATTACTATTACAATGCTGTGAGTGTAAAAGGAAGGTGATTTTCATAATTAGAAGACAATAATAGGGGGTTATTTAGCAAACTGTTCTATCATTACTTAACAGGATCTCTGAATTTCCTACAAGATCTGAAGCTAGTCTTGAATGTTGAAAGCAAAACTGATTTGCTTCAAAAGTGAAGTCTTTACTTATGTGGCAATCTGCTATCTGAAATGTTAAGTCCATAATGTCATTTTCTAACAATGGGGTTTCAAGTATCTTGGGAACTTAATGTAAGACAGTAAATTAGTTTAAAGTAAGAACACTGCAAATAAAACACTTGAATGTTAAAATGTCCATGAAAGACATGATAAGGATAAAAAGAAAAATTTTTTTTTCCCAATGATAAAATTGTTTTTAATATCTAAAAGCTGAACAACATTTTAAAAAGGAAACTCATCTTTCATTATTTCCTGTAGTGCGGGGCAGGTAACAGCAAAGCATGTGTGCTATTTCTAAACTAGAATCCAGGAGAAACATGCGTCCTTGTTGTATCTGAAAAGATATCCATGTAAATAAAAAAATGCTAAATTCAAACTTAATGAGAGTCTATGAACTCTAATCAAATAATCCTGGCCTTTGTCCTGATTGCTATTGTATTTCTTTTTCTTCTAATCCTTCCGTTATCATCATTCTTTTCCTAACTGGGTGGGTATGCATTTTCTCTTTTTCTCAACTTCAAATAAAAGTGTAACTTTAAATCCAAGGGTAGTATTCTAAGTACCACTATAGATCAACTTAAACCAGATTCTCTCTTAAGGCAGCTTAAGCACTGAAAATTAAATTTGATTCAGTCTAGACAACCTATCTTGAGAATATCCTTTTCAGAATTTCCTAGATTGACTGTCTAGACTGCTCTAAATTCCCCTAAGTAATTGCATAATCATCTTCCTTCTGACCTCCTAAACAGTCTGGAACAATATTTTCCAATCTATAGTTGCCATGAAAATCAAGATCACTGAGTTTCTAAAAGAGGGCCTTTCTCAAAGGTGACGAGTCTCAGGAAAATACTTGTTCCCCAATCTCCCATCTCAAAGGAACTCAAGTAGGAGGCTTTATATACTTATTATTTGAATCGATGAGATTTCTGGGTAAATGGCCTGGCTTCAGCACCTCCCCATCCCCACCTACTCCCGAAGGGAGAGACAAGTTAGTTAATAGGGGGAGAAGGAAATATGCTGTTAACTCTATTAGATAGCAACTCCTGAAAGCAAAAAAAAACCTTTACATTTTTGGAAAACTGATAAATCAGGAGCAATATATGGAATTTTAATTTAAACGTCCATCAGTATAATCTAAACTTCAAATTTAAAAATGGGGGAATTAAGTGAAGAATCACCTAGCAACAATAAGATCCCAGAATCTATAATTTACGGCCTCTGATGAAGTGAAGAACATTTAAGAGGCAAGGTGAGACTTAATTACAAGCAAGAAAGACAGCAATGGCTTTCAGCCTGAGATGCAGGTTTACATTTTCAAAACAATAATTGACATTTTTTTCAGCACTTACTATCTATCAGTCAATGAGGTAGAGGTTATTTTCATTACCACTTACTAGATTAGAAATTGAGACACAGAAAAATTAAATAGCTTGCTCCAGATCAAACAGCTACTATCAAATGATGCTTTTAATGATCATGGGATTAGAATTCCTTGAGTTTCTATAGAAAACAAAGACAGTGAGTCACGCCCTGCTAAGATGATTAGAAGGCAGTTGGAGGTAATAAGTCAAACTCAAGTTTAAATATATGGACACTGAGGACCAGAGAGGTTTTGTTTAGTTTCTTTTTTACATATTATCAAACAGATTCTCAGAGAGGTTAAGTAATTTTTCCAATGCTCCACAGCTAGTAGGTTGTACAGCAAGATTAGAAGCCAGATGTGATGCCAAAGCCTCTATCTTTTCCATTAACCTGTGACAGAAGCCTGAATCTCCTGAGTCCACCGTCCTGTACAGTATAGCATGACACTGGTAGATATAAAAAGTGCAATATAATGGGAAAGGAGTTCTCTAGAGCTGTCTCCAGAGTAGAGAAAAGTGGGACAATCATCCTGGGCCCATTTTAGAAGATCTTCCTTATTACTATTGAAATAGCTGAGAAGGAAGCAAAGAGGGAGAGATTTATCCAGAAGGTGCTTAGAAAAATTTAAGTGTATGAAGTATCTAGGACCATGTACATGAATGTCATTCCTAATTTCATCAACATCATCCAAAGAACTTAAGTAGACTACCTTTTGTTAAGGTTGCTTTGTACTTGAGACTCTTGGGAATGCCAGCAAGCACAATATACGTACTTTCGAGGGAGAAAAGGAGGAAAGGTGCAGAAGCTGTGGGGATGGGCTAGTGACGGGTATGGCCTTAACTGGTGAAACCCTGTGAAAATGTCTTAATCTTCTCAGGTTCATCAGAAAAGAAAAATCAATTTTATTTAGTCTAGAAATCACATAGTCTCTCAGGAGTCTCTAAGGTACCTTTTTATACAAAGGAGGTACAATACAAACTATTTTGGTCTTCATGCCTTTGGATAAAAAGGACACATTTGTATCACTTTAGGACACCTTAAGAAAACTTTAGAGAGTGAGAGAGTCTAGAGTTTAGGTTATAAAGGCATGGCTAGCATGCAAATTATATTTTATCTTTAGGATTCCAGAAATCTTCTGGGAACAAATCCTTTATTTATTAATGACTTCTGTTTTCCAATTTGGAAGAAAATTATATTACAAATGATTTTCTTAGCACATCATGAACCCTTTTGTTTTCCTTAGAACTTTGTGCCAAAAAATATAAAAGGGCATATAACTGAAGACTATTGATAAGACCAAATCACTAATTTTAATATTAGCGATTTTTCCATCAATTGTTTTCCTTAATATTAATTTTACTTAACCCTGGATTTAACTTTAATTTTCTTACTAAAACATCTTTTAAAGGAGGAGCTCAAGACTTAAAGAAACATACTTTTTTTTTTCTTTTCTGTACTGACAAAAAAAAAAATAGCAAAAAACATAAAAGCAAAGCTCAGCTAAGCAAGAACACAAATGTGAATAATTTGGGTCAAACGTGAGCTCAGATCATTGTGTGCATGTATGGCATTGTTTCTTAATCCCCAGGCAGAAGAAAACAACTGGGGTGGCAGACACTTCTGGCTGAGGATGGAAATGGCGGGGAAAGCTGGCAGTATACAAATGAAGGAGAAAACAGTGCACGTTCAGCCTGCTGACATCTGCTGCACATGCAAAATGGATTGGACTCTGTAAGCCAGGGTGAAAACAAATGCTTTCTTCCTTCCTTCCTCCTGTTCCATAGTTATTATTGAGTGATGGTCTCATTCTTTTTGTATTCACAGATTAAAATTAATAACAGCATCTGAATTTGAAGTAGTTTCCACTGAATAGTGAACCGGAAGCTAAATGAGCTGAAGAAATTAATAACGAAGCATTTGAATAGGAAGGGGTCGTGGACAAACACCATTTTTTAGAAGCCGATTTTACCTCAGGATGATGTCCAATTTCAATGTAGGTGCAAATTGGATGAAAAGCCCCCGTTCCACAGGCGTACAAATGAGTCTGATTATAAGCCTTAAGTACTTTGATGAAATTAGCACATTCTTTCTGTAAGAAAAAAAAAGAAAACAAGTGATTTCTAGTGGTCAGCATGACTGAGGTATCCTCTAGGGTACTAGGCATGCTTGAGCAGATTTCTTTTGTGTTCCCTTCAGTACATTTTTAAGACTTGTTTATTGTTCCATAGTTTTGCTCATATTGTTACATGAGTTAAAAATATAAAAGTTCTTATTCTTTTGGGGCCAAATATAATATGTTATTTCATAACTCTTCATTAAAATTATTTCTAATTTATTTATAGGAAAGAGGAAGAAAATTATAGATAACCAAAAATCACTGGTGACTTTTCCAGAAATGAGGGAGTAGCAAGTTAATTAATTAATTAATTACATAAAGAAGACAACGGTGAATATTTCCTTCTAAAATAACCTTTGAGTTAACTTTCAGAAAAAGAAAAGTATAAGCTAATATAACCTTATATTAAATATGAAGTTGAAACATCATTAGTAACCCATAATGATGAGCAATTGACTTTGAACTTCAATAGTGCTGCATGCTCCTGAGCTCTATAGACCCTATAAACCCTAAGAAGGTAAAGTCACATCCTGCTGAAAATGTAACTTCAGCCTCAGATACAAGCTGGGTTAAATTTAAAGATTGAGAAGACATTCAAGTTGGGAACATCTGTAATCTGAACGATCTTTTGCAGAGTGATATAATTAGTAAATATTGTCAAGAGGTTTATGGACATCCTGAACCCACACATGGATCAACCCCAACCCTGCCACCCTGCCCAATGAGCCATGGACCTGAGGTAAAGAAGAATTTCCTAAGAGAAAATTCTAGTCATGTCCTAATATTATTTATGGAAGTTAGGACACTCCTGGGAATTTTATTTTCTGAATATTATCTAAGAATAAAATGGACAGAGCCATTTATACTCTTTCTATACATTCTGTTGAAACTATCAATCTTGTGAAAGAAAATATTTTTCTATAAACAGGAAATTTAGACTTTTGTCCCCTGCTGAAGATATACCTGGGGAAGGGAGGAATCAGATATCTAGAATATGAAATGGATACTTTTTTACCAAAATACCCAGAACAGGATAGGCTTAATTTCTTAAAATATTCTTAAATAGGTGAATCTATATCAATATTGTAAAAAGAAAAGAAGAAAGAAAAAATAAACGCTCAAACTCTCACAATAGCTTCAAATAAAATGTTATGGTCTATTAACCACATAACAAAGCTTAGTAATAGAAATAGTGAGTAAAAAATATGAGTTTATCATATACTGAAAATATCCAAATGAGTATTTATATGCTAAATAATAAAAACTACATTAAAAATTATTGTTATTGATAATAGACTTTCCTAACTAGTTTAGTGTTTTGACTATAAACATTTGGAATTAAGAAACAGATATGTAACTATAAATGCTAATACCAAAAGCAGACTACAGTACAAACAAGGCCGGCAATTATAAAAGGCTGGGTTGGTCTTGGCACCTGTACGTGTGTTACACTTGTAGTCAGTCTTCATGACATATGACTTTTCAAGTGAAAGTTCAGAGTGAATTTGGGCCTATCAAGTCAGCTGGGGTTTATAACAGAAGATACATTTCGATATCACCCTTATATTCTGTATTTGTTGCTGGTTTCTTCAGTCTTAACTCTACTATCCCTATAAAATAAGGAGCAGGCAACCAATTTGAGCAGAATAATTGATATTTAAATTCAAATAGTTACTATGTATCATCACTGGTTTTTCTAGGGTGAAACCTGATGATGTCCTTTGAATATATTGTCCTAACGGTGAACTAAATCCATTTAAAGTAAAAAACAAAAGCCCCGAGTTACGACTCCTCATGTTTTAACATGTGCTGAGTTGTTTTGATGGTTACTAAAATAAACATATACTTTCCCCGCTGTTTTGCTGCTAAGATCTTTTGTATGGTAAGGTATTATTATATATGAAATTAAACTTTGAAATCAACTGATTTTGCAAGTTGCTATGGAGAAAATTTCTTAGCTTAAAGGTATATGCAATCTCATCCATGCTTCACTTTGAACAGGGTAAGTCTTAGGCAAAACTTCCACAACTCTTCGCAACAAACTCCCCATTCTGTAACAGCTCTCCCCACTCCCACCCCTTCGCCTTCCCCAAGAGGACAGGGCATGAACACCAGGACAGAGGAAAGATGTTGTGGAGAGGGAAACATCTGACAAACTCATTTACTAGTGAGGCATTCATGAGTATTACCCAAAGGATTTCTTTGTATTCTTAAAATAATTCAGTCATTTGCAAAGAAACCACTTTCAGGAAAATGTTTTATGGCATCTCTTGCTTTGAAACACGTAAGTGGCCACATACTCTGCTTTTGTATAAAGACAGCCATCCCTGATGGTGGACTCGACATTATAGTAAATAACCGGTTTCAGCACCGTATGTTGAGACCAAGAAATTGGCTGTGTACATATTGGTAAGCAAACGAACATTCTAATAAATAACAGTGGCAGACCCAGATGGATGTCTTGTTCATTTTAGAAAAGAACAGGGTTTCAGTTTGCATGCCTTGTCTTTGAAGATATGCATGCAATTTTGTACACAAACCCAAATTCTCTCGCCCTATCAGTAACCCCAAGTGTATTCTAGATATTTAAGTATAGATCTCAGTTCTCCACAATAGAATACAAAGAAAATATTTTGTGAATATGAATACTTGTGAACACAAATGAAGGCTCCCATTACCTCTGCAACTGTAATGAACCCTAATATAGAATTTATGAGGTCTTTAACTCTTATGGACTGTATAATTGATTTTTAATTTTTCAGTGACTAAGTTTGATCTTCCATGGAAATTAGCAAATTATAATTAATGATAGAAAAACTCTCCAGGTTTCAGGACACTATGGAATTGGGCCACAATGAATATCATAATTTTAATTTGTTTTCTATTAACTGTTAAAGAATAACCACTATAATATGACAACCGTGCTTCTACAGAGCTGCTGGAAAAACAGCAATCACAGGACTATAGCTGTGAAACCTGGCAAAGGGCTCTACTGAGAGTGCTGATAACTGAGTCTACCTGAGCTACAGAGTAACTGGACCCACCCTGTTGGCCTAAGGCCTGGAATGATCCCGTTCATTTCCCCCACTGAACTCTCCCAGTCAGCAGCAGGTTGTATTGTTGCCATACCCCAAGGGGCTAGCTCGACATGACTGTGAGAGTGAAGGCTGATGCCAATAGAATTTGGGATTAGAAATTACTTGAATTTAGAGTGTGTTAAGACACTTGAATGCAAACAAAGGAATTGAAGGAAATACTTCAAAATGGGTTAAAAATAGCAGAGAAGAGACTCATCAACAATGAAGGAGGAAACAGTGAATTAAAAGAACTAGACAGAGAAGAACCAAACACTTGAAAGAGATATTGTTAGTAACGATTTGTTCTTTCACCAGAAAACCTACATAAAAGGATATCAATCCTGTCACTCATTTGCCTTCCTTCTCTAGCTTGTTACTGCCAAGGTTTTTGAGTGTTCCAAAACAGGATACTCATTTTATTTGGAAGCTGCTTAGACATCCCTCTAAAAAAGAAGGAAGCGTGGCAGAAAAAGGAAACACACTTCACACATTTCTGCTCCAGGGAGACAGAAGAAGAGTGTTTCTGACCTTTTCTTGAACCATGACGACTCTTAAAGCTCAGAATGTAATGTACTTTTTGGCATTCTACTACTGCACTGCTTTGCTCAGCACTGGCGGATTTACAACGGAAAGAGAGTGTAAGCAGTTCAAAATGAATTCATTTTTCAAACCTTGATCCTTTCTGGAATTTAACTTGATATACACAGACAAGTTTAGCAAAAAATTGGTTACCCAAGACTCAGGGAACCATACTGACCTATTATTGTACTGATATATACTCCAGACGAACAGTATTATACATTGTTAACTTAGCTTAGAAATAAAAGTAAAGCAGTTATAAGCCAGTAAAAGCCAAGGCCACACTTGAGGATCAATGATTCATCTTCCTTAGTGGCAAACCATTTAAACTTATTTTTAAAAAGGTTTCCAGTGTTTTCAAATCAAATGTACAGAGGAATTACACATAGAGATTAGCCTGGAAAAATAAATTAGAAAATGTCTATGCCCAGAAAAAATTACTGGAGCCAAATGCACATTGATTCAAAAACAAACATTACGGTTATATAGCACTGATTAGACTGTGTTACGCAGACTTTTCCTGGACGGTTACAAAAATAAAGTCCATCCATCTGTCAAAACAACTGCTCCATGCATGAAAATTAAAACAGAATTGAGATGTTTTTAACTAACTTCCGATAATTATGTTTTCTACAAAAGACTATAAGTTACCTCCAATTCCAATTACCTCTTTGCATGTTTTTAAATCGTGGATGGAACAGTTAATTCCTACTCTAATACTCTAAACAGGGAGGAATCAAAATAAAAATAAAAAAAAAAGAAAGGAGAGAAGACCGTGAACAAGAACAATCTCTATTTAAATATGTTCTGTTCACCGCTAAAATAAACAACTTGTTCTGGTTCAAATATAAATCAGCCCAAAATGAAAGGGCATAGTACAGCATTGCTTCAGGTCAATGAGCATGTAGAGAGAGAGAGAGAAAAAAGTCTCTATCCCATTGGTAGTTTATGTAGAAATATTTTAAAGTAAAATCTAGCAGCTGGGAAACTAAAGGATGCATTCTCCTATCATGATGGGTGGATACATTTCTGCATGGAAATCCATTAATAAGCTTAATTCCTGAAGTTAATCTGTTGACTTTCTTTTTCTCTGGTCCATTTTTTTGGCAAGCTACTAGAATAGCTGACTCTTGTGCCAAAGCCATCACTCACTTTATCCCTCCCTCTATTTAAGCTGTTCTATACTTATCTGGCAATAATGTTTCTTCATTTTTTTCTTTTAACATTGTGCTATTACAGCTGTGATCGGATCCTTTATAATCACGTCTTCCTAATACTTCAGCATTCACTAAAGGATGTTAGAAATCTCTTCTTCAA